AATATTATAATTTAAACTAGAATAATTCAACCATAACCACATAATATTGAATATCTAAGCTATCTAACCAATCTTGGACAACGCGTTCTTGTATGGCCCTGAATATTGCATTCTGAACACCTTGGTGGAGCTCGACGTCGTGGTTCTTGACCTGGATTTTGACTGGTTGGCTCTCTATCTTGAGGTTGAATTTATGGAATTTCAACCTTTTGGGCTAATTCTTTGAGCTCTGCCACTGATAGACCTTCTGGATGAGCTATCTGTTTCTTAGAATTTGCCTTCTTTTGCTTCTTTTTCTCGTTTGCGGCACGTAAGAGTTGGTTGTCTCGAGTAAGAAAAGCGGTAGATTGTATCGCTATTTGGCATGCCTTAAGCACTTGATTTATATGCGAATTTAACGGGCTTAGTGGGGTCTTAAAGCGCTCTTCTAAGAGCTTTCTAATTAAAGAAGCTTGTTTTTGAAGCTGATGGTAATTTAATGGTGTCTTTGGCTCCCACGCGCTGCTTTGGCTACCTTGAGAAGGTAGTCGTGAAGGTATAGGTATAGGTGTATAAAGTCGAATATTAAGCTTTGAAATCACTTAATCTAGATTATATAGAACTAATCCTATTGCTGAGAAGCCGTTTTTAATGATTTCTGGCTTAAATGCCTCGTTTCGGGCGATTAGAAAAGCGTTAAGAAAGTCTAACTTATCGATATGGTTCACTCTATTCCGCATAAGATTTTCGATGTATTTCCTATACGCGCGCTTTAAAATGGTAAAATAACCTATATTAAGAGGTTGTAAAAGATGAGAAGAGTGTGGTGGTATGTAAATTAGAATCACGTCGTTTTAATAGTAAATTTCATTAAATTTTAGAGTTAGATGACTTCTATGACTATTAAGAACTAAAAGTCGATATTTCCCCTTTATCCTTAGAAAAGTTAAGGGAAGAAAGACCTTTTGAAGCTAACGAAGTCCGATTTCGTCTAAGGTCTATCTATTTAGGCTAACTTTAAAACGCTAATCATCTGGAAGTTCATTAGCCTAACCTGTGATGAAGACTTTACCCTTAAAGATAACTGTTGGAGGGAGGTAAAATCTAGACGCGCCTGTAGACTCGATTAAGGTTACCTATTCACGATTTCTAGGTTGTAAAAGAGAGCGCCGACCATAATATTCCGCTCTCGTTATAACTTTTGCGGTCGTGGTTAAGCCTATCGCGAAACCAGTCTCGTTAAAGTTATATATATCATCTTGATGGATACCATTCTCTTAAATCGTCTTTTGAACTAGATTAAACTATTCTATAATGATTTTAGGGTCCTCGCATTTCGCTCGTTCGTAATTATAGCGTCTTAAGAATCGTGTATCGAGTTCTGGGTGTCGTTTAACGTATTTTGTGACCTAATTTTTGCCAATAGTTTGAATCGGGGTTATTCCACGCGTTGCGAGTAAAAGATTAGCCATTTCTTGCACTATACTAGGTCGAGGTGCCGCTCCTTAAATATCCATAGAAATCACCCAATTTTTTAGTGAATTCTCCTTAATTTCAGTTAATTTAAGCGAATTTGCGCGTAATTCGACGCGGTTTTCGACTCCATTAAGTCGGTCTTGGAGCGTTGAACGTGGGATATTATATATACGTGCTGCCTCGCGAATTGACAATTTTTCCTATTTTTTAAGAGCCTGGATAGCAAGTAATATCCGGCCCTCTTGATGTGTTAAATTTTGACGATTTTGAGAACGAATTGGTGGCATGGTGGTTGGTTGAAGAAGAAAGGTCTAATTAATTAACGCGTTTTGGTTGGGGTGGCCGGGCCGGTGGGGTGGCCGGTTCGGTGGTGAAATACGTTAGATGACCCACTTAATAATATTGGCTTAATACAGGATTTCTAAATACCCCCAAAACGTGTAACTCCGTTATAACCGACAATATTCACGAAAATTTAGCGTTGAGGGTCTAGTATTAACTAGTAGGCTCGAATATCTAATTTCCGAGGTTCTTAGCGAAATGTTGAGAGTGGGAATGGTGGGAAAATTAGAAGGTAATGTCTTACTTTCGCCATTCACCACCTAGAGTAAACGTAACTGCTGGAATAGAATATGGCGGATATGGTAGGATGTGTTATAGAAGACTGATTCTGTACCTGCACTTCTGCGTTTCGTGGGTTAAGTCTAGCCATGATAATCTTTCTGGCTTAGATCGCGGTCCTCTTGCTTACCTACTATGCGCAGGCAGCGTCTATTTTTGCTTATTTCATGGTGAGTGCCAGTGAATTTGATTTAAAACTTTGATAAATTAATGAATCCATCCATAGGTCATAAATTCCGGTAATTATACGTTGGATGATTGGGAAAATGATATGAAATTGGCCTAAGATGCACATATTGACGTATTCGCATTGAATGCAGCTTATAATGATCCTGTTAATGGTAAAGTATTTGCTGCTGCCTTTTCGGCAGCCGACGATGTTGGGTTTTAGCTTTTTTTTAGCTTTGATTATGCTGGAAATGGTAACTGGCCTAAGAACGACGTGATTAATATCATTAATCAGTATAAGGGCCACTCCTCTTATTTCTAATATAAAGGGCAACCATTTGTCTCGATATTTGAAGGTCCTGGTCGTGTGGATGATTGGCCTTCTATTAAAGCTGATACTGGCTGCTTCTTTATCCCAAGTTGGTCATCTATAGGTGCGAAGCCTGCGGTAGAAACAGGTGTGGTAGATGGCCTTTTCAGTTAGGCAGGTTGGCCCTGGGGCCCTTAAGATATAGACACTTATATCGATGCTTCTTATCTATAATATCTTGAGGGCTTGCCTTATATGATGCCTGTCTCTCCTTGGTTCTTCACAAATTTACTAGGATATAAAAAGAACTAGATGTGGCGAGGAGACCATTTGTGGCATGATCGTTGGCAAGAGGTGCTTTATATTTAGCTAGAATTTGTCGAAATCATCTTATGGAATGACTATGGAGAATCTCATTACATTGGGCCACTCTATGATAAGGCCATGGAAGCATTCTAGATTAGAGAGGCACCATTCAACTATGTGACTGATATGCCCCATGACGGTTAGCGTGAGACCCCTCCTTTCTGGATTGATATGTATAAATCTAGGGGCGCTGAAGTTACTAAAGAGAAAATTGTTGCTTGGTATCGTATAAGTCCTACTGCCGCCTGTGGCAGTGGAGGTATAAGTGGAAACACTGCATCTTAACTATAGATCGAGTTTCCTCCCGATGAAATGGCTTAAGATCGTATCTTCTTCTTAGCCGTTCTTGGTCCATTTTCAGGTGCAGTCGTATCAATTGGCGGCTCGGCGCAGGGAGTTGGTTGGAGCATCGTTCTAGACGATGATGTCGGAATCTATCATGGTAGTGTGCCATTTGATGGCCGTACCGGACCTATTTCCGTCTCCTTACAACGTGACAATAAGATCATCGCAACTATCACGGGTGAGTCTATCTCTGCTAGATGTCCCTACGGAATCCAGAATTGGAATGCCTAGGTCGGCAGTGCTAGCACGGGTAACAAGGTCTCCGCTAGGCCAAATTTCCTTCTTTCTGAGCAAACCTGCGCTAATGGTACTAGAGTATATAACTTTGCTGGATTGTGCGAATTTGCTTGCACCCAGGGTTATTGTCCCTTGGGCGCATGCATATGTACGAAAATGGGAGTCGGTCATGTGAAACCTAATTCGACTGGCGTAGTCAGCTATCTAATTGAGGGAGAGAGTGCGAGCTATAGCGGACTGTGTTTATTTAATTGTAATCTGGGATTCTGTCCGCCCTCAGCATGCGGTACAACTAAGGTTCCGTTAAGCACACCGTTAGTATCGCCTTTCCTCCCTCTAGCTTGCACCTTAGGAACAGGCGACGGTAATTTGGCTAGTCTCTGTGACTTAAGTTGTACCTATGGGTTCTGTCCGATGAATGCATGTACCTATACTAGGCAAGGCGCTATGAACGTGATGGACCCAACAACACCAGATGTAGCCGGGGAAGCAGCCCCCGGGCAAGATCCTACTATATATGGACCGCTTTATGAGTATACATGCGCACGAGGTTATTGCCTAGAAGGCGCTTATGTCGTAGGCTTAAGCTCTAGTGGTTCGGGCTCAGGATCGGGATCTGGCGATGGGGACGTTTATGTCGACCTAATTGTTTGGGAGGATACATCCCTAATTATCTAATATCAACCACTATGCTCCCTTATTCTACCTCTAAAGCCGCTACAATCTCTAGAAACTATTAATATCCCCACATTCCCGGCGCCGATTCCCCGGAGTTAATAGACTACCAGAACTACCATAAACAATGATGGAAGCACGACAAGCTACGTTGGCTACTCTACCACTACCACAACTGTTTATTTGACTTTTCCACAAAGTAAGATTATGTCTCTTATACTAGACACCATTTTTTGAGACTTTGATTAACCATTTCTTTCTAGTGGTGATCAATGAGATTCCAGTCTGGGGAGTGTTAATCAATGCTAGTCAAACGACTACTTCTACTTTAGAGATGACTAGCAGTATTAACTTGCCGGAGATGGTCGTTATCCTACCTCCACTTCAGTCTGCTCCCACTCTAACGAGCACCACGACCACTATTTACCCACCTCCCTATCCGTGGACTTAAGAAAGCAAAGACACTAACCTTAATATAGGGACAACGACCTAGACACCAGGGTCTGCTTCTCCGTTGGCAACGAAAGGCAGTAAGGGTACTGGCCATAAATGTGAGCCATGGTACCATAGACCTTATCTTACATGTCTTCCTGACTGGGGTGGTAGCGTGGGTGGTAGCGTGGGTGGCGGCGACGGGGGTGGCGGTGGATCTGATGGGAACGAAGATGAGGATGAATGCAGCACACGTATAGCATAGATCTGCTCGACAGTTTGCGTCGCGGGATCTGATTGTGACTTCGACTACACAACAACCACGGGTTGCACGGCGACAGCATCGTTGACTAAGATCGTTGGAACACCCGCACCTAGAGTTGGAATCACTATGGAGGAATGGGCAACAGTGACTGATGATCCCGATGCCATCATAAGTATTGCCATCTCCTTAGACTCGGTTCTTGCGTCAAAATACGGCTCATTGACAGTATTGGAGGGTGCATCAGCAACACCAACCGGTCTAGCTACTAGTAATGGTGCCACGCTAGGTGAGGTCCAGATTTTTTACCTTGAAGACTTGGTGAATGGAATATTTAGGAGGGATATCAAACTGGATTAAGCCTAGGTGGAGCTGGATGCCCTGAAGGAAACCCTCCTGACTCTACAATTAAGGATGGGGCATACGATGGAATGGGTGATGGACAGTCCGGAATTAAGGCTTTCGGGGTAACTTGTGCCTATAAAGGTATAAACCTGCTAATCGGCGACGAAGGCAAGGAAGTGGGGAAATTGGTGTGCGATAAATATCGAGATGCGACTTATTATGCCGGGTTTGGTGATAAGGGAGATTGTGAGACGTGGGAAGAGGTATACGCGATCATGACCTATAAATGGTGAGCGTTGCAATGAAGTACTTGAACCTTTAAGTTCAAGTTGGAAACACTATATGTTATATATTAGTTCATAGACAAGTTTAAATACAGTCAAAGCCCGCTTATGGTACGGCGGGTTATAGTACAATCCCGGTTATAATTGTCACACGCTTTGACCACTAGTGGTGTGCTGACCAAGCCTCCCGTCTTGGTCAGCCACACTAAAGTGTCATTTTTTACACTTTTTGAGCTTTTCCAGCGTCACACCTTCTGTATCTATTGTATAAAGTGGTTTTCCATCATCTCCAATAACCCAGCTATCAGAATCCTCAATTTCTCCGTTTTCGTCCGATCTTTGTGGAATTGGGACCAATTCTTTTGCAGCGACTCGGAGCATGCGCATATGGTCCAACCTTTTCTCCTCCTCGTCACGTCTCCAAATTCGCCGGTTGGCATCTAGAGGTGTCAGAGAATGGAGTCCTTACGTGTTCTCTGAGTTCGCACTTTTTTACCGGAATTCTCCGCTATTTCATTTATGTCATATCATGTGATATTTTACTTGATTTGTTTGTTCTGTTTGATTTCTTCTCTAAATCTCAGGTATTTAGTTCTCGTATTTCGGCAGAATAGTTTGAATCTCATGCCAATTTCTTCTCCACTTTCTATCCTGAGAATTTCCTGAGAAGACCCTGAATTAGCTCAGCTTGACCACATTGCCTTGTTCATCTGATCTAATTCCCTGAGATTGGTAACCAGTTGCCCTGCCAATCTCAGACAAGAGGTGTTAAAGCAGTAAGGCTTGATAGCTGCTTTCTAGACCTTTTGGTCTGAATAGGACGTTAACGAGCTTGAATTGAGAGTAATTTCCTCTTAAGCTCATTGGTATACTCTACGTTGATAACCTGGCCTGTCTAGTAGTGCTTAAAATCGCGTTTTAACCGATTAAGCTCTTCGGTCTGATCTTTCATTTCGTCTGATATTTTTCTAATACACTTTTCAAGCTTATTTCCCACATAATTTAGCCTTTCAATTATTTAAGGTAGTGAATTAATAGGCGAAGAGTGTGGTTCTGGTGTGTGGCCTAAGAGCTCGAGAATTGGGTCATTTTTATGCCTTTTATCCCATCTTTTTTGTATTGGTCCGATCACAATATTAGGATTAAAAGGCCAAATTCTAGTATCTCAAAACGCGCTCTTGATAATTTATGGTTAGAATGATTTCTATTAGATTAAAGTGATATTTTAAAGGAATACCCGCTTTGCTAAATTAGGCTAGAACCACGCGTTTGTAAGCGTATTTTCCTTCCGAAAATATTGTTTTAAACTTAAAAATGGCTTTTGGTCTAAAGGTTAAGTAAAATAAGAGGTATAGGGTCGAAAGCTAATTAGGATAATTCCGTGATTTTCGCAAAAATTGAGGAATTTAAACGTAAGGTAGGATCTATGCCCGTTAAAGAAAAGCACGCGTTTTCTATTAGTCCTAACGCGATTTTTCGTGTTTTCATAGAATAAATAAAGCCATTCTAGGGCAATTAGATTAGACGACTAGCCGTTTAGAGAGACTTACATTTTATAGTGCTAATTAAGCGCTAGATTGTCACGGAACTAGTCCTCTATATGCGTCTAACCTTAGAAGATTAAATATAGGACCATAACCTAACTATCTACGGTAATATACTTAATAAAGGTAATAATTTAACCCTAATTAATTAAAGAGAGCCTATCTAAGCTATATTAATAGCGTGTCACGACCTTTTAAGCTCGTCCTTAACCTAATTAGAACCCTATCTCGTCGAAATTATAGATATTTTTGGGACTAATACCTTTAATCTAATCTCTAATATAGTTAAACTAGGTTATAAGACGTGAAATATCCTCTAATTCTAGCCTATTTTTATCTATAGGCTTCTATTTAATCCAAAAGAAGCCTTCTAGAAGACATTGGACGAATCGGCTAGACCATATCTTACTAACCGGAGGCTGATTAGAACATGCTAAAATTGAATTTACGCAACATTCAATCTCTTGGAGCGTATAAGGCGCCCATAGATCATTAAGCTGCTTAATATATCGGATTAAAGCAGCTTCTTGCATCACATTCAGCGCTCGTTATGGTGATATTTTCGTCTTAACTTTTCCACGTGCGTGGAACTGATGGAGTAGCGACTATGGAAGGCTAAACGACCGGGCTAATTCCGTTATATTAGGCTCATTTTGGTTGGATATGGTAGCTAGGGATTGCTGGTAATGTATTTCGAGTTCAGATGGCATATTTAACGTATTTTGGTAGAGAAATGGGATTAAAAGGTGAAAATTTGACACTTTAGTGTGGCTGACCAAGACGGGAGGCTTGGTCAGCACACCACTAGTGGTCAAAGCGTGTGACAATTAGTACCATATTCGCTTGGATGGACCCACTTTTTAGGAATTTACCATATAAAACATTCGTTTTTAGAACGCTCACTATTATACACCCTTTTCCCCCTATCTTTACTAAGTCACCTACTTAATCAGCACTAGACCTGGACAAAACCCGCGGGATTCCCACCATGGGATAGACCGTGGCACGGGTAATTTCATAAAAACTAGTCCCACGGGAGTGGGGCGCGGTGGTCAAAAATGGTTTGTCCCGTCCCATGGGCGGGACGGGGGGTATGTCCCGCCCGCGATGGGATATGGGTATTCCCACGGGTATTATAAACAGTGCAAACTTACCCTTTTTAGACATGCATTAATTATCCAATTTTTCTGTATTTTTAGTAGTAATCTATATACGCACGTGACTATATAACTCCACCAGAACTACTAAATTCCACTAGAACTACCCTTTTTTTAAGGTTTTAAGTTCGATTCTAGCTCTATATTACATACCAAAACAGCTTAAATTACCAATCTTTCAGTATTCTTAGTCAGCAGATTATATAGGGACTTTATGTAGATATGGGTAATTTTACGATGTTACGCGGTGCTAACTGGTCATAGTGAGTATCGCTTGTATGGTTCCTTATACGTACCGAGAGGCTCGTCCTTAAGTCTCACACGTAATCGTACCGTTGCCGTTGGGCCTTACACGGGCTCGGATCTATAGAGTAGACTCTTGTTGGGCCGTGCCAGATAGTAGCGCCTAGTCAAGCTATGCTTAGGATCTGTATCAAGTGACAAGAGACTAAGTATACCTTTCCTAGTAGGGTGGGTTGTCTTAAATACGAAACAAGTTGTGAAGCTAGGGTTGTAGGTCCCAAGTAATAATGTGTAATTGAACGCGAAGAACTAAATATATCTGTGGTAATGACCGTTCCTTATATATCTAATCCATCGCATCGCTGATGAGTCCGGGACTCATTACTGATCTGTTCCGGTCTTATCGCCGATGAGCTGCACTCATCGCCGATGAGCTGTACTTATCGCCCGATGAGTCAGCACGTGATCCTTCCCTAGGATCCTTGTCTTCCTGGGATACTAAGCTTCTTAGGATCCTTTGTATTGTAGGGTACTTCACGGTTGTTAGTAACCATGGCTTATCGTAGGGTATTGTCGATCCTGGGATACTCTGTATCCTAGGAATCTCCCTTTTGGTTCTAAACCGTGGCTTATCGTGGGATATCTCTGATCGTAGGGTAGAGCCCGTTGTAGGATCTTCCCTATTGGCGATAACCATGGCCTGTCGTAGGATACTCCTTATCCTGCGATCGTGCTTATCGTGCGATCGTTCTTTTCCTAGGATGGTACTGAATCGTAGTGTCCTTTGGTTATCACGTATCGTGCATCCTGTTGTGAAGAGGCTATGGTTCTCCGAACCATGCCTTGCACGTGATCTGCACGTCGTCCCGTTCATCTAGGATGATTGGGTATAAGTGCCCCGCGGGTGGTGCGGCCCCCTGTAGGTCCGTAACATCACCCCCTCCTTTCCTAGGTCTTTGTCCCTAAAGACTCCTGTGTCTTATAACCGCCCACTCCCCTCTCTTGGTAAGTGTTGGTTCTTATTTCCTTTCCTACCCTTTAGCCATAACTCCGTCGTTATGCCTTTGTCTAAGTCTTCTATCTGGAAGAATTAACTAAGTGATCGCATTTCCGTAGAAGGTTATTAATCTGTTATTCCCTGCGATCGTTGTGTTCGCCTTAAAAGAGTGTGTGTTCGTTCTGACTTCTTGGATCGCTGTGGTTCTTGTGTGAAGGGTGGTGGTGGTGTAAAGTGCACCATGTCTCGTCCTTTATATTCCGATGCTGAGTAGCGTCGCCTCCTTAGCGCTTGTTCTTCATTGGCCGATGAGAAGCGTGTAGCTTTATCTAAACTACTTCGTCTCGAGGCCTAAGAGTAACTATTGCTGAAGCGTTCGGGTGATTTTATTGCTAGGGATTTCAAGGAAATCGCTAAATTAGAAGAGCTCGAACGTCGCGAAAAGGAAGAATTAGATCGTCTTGAAAAAGAGCGTGTTGAGGCCGATTGTGTAAAAGACTGTGGAAAGAAGGCTGCTCTGACCGCTGATGAGTATTCTGGCCTTTCTTTCGTCGAGGATACGCATGTCCTTGCGGCCACGTTAGAGGACTCTAGTCGGACGTAGACGACTGCGTCTGACCCCTTACTTTCGGTGGACTGGTTAAGCGTTGATTTCGACGCTTTCTTAGCTGCTGTCCCCTAGGGGTCTTTTTCGCCCCGTTGTAATACTGTTGAACTAGCTGGTGGCAGCCCCTTAGGTTCTTGATAGGTTCCTATGTATTTTCTGAGGTAGGGTACCCCTGCTATTTGACTAAAAGCTGTTGCTGACTGTTATGCTATCTATCCGCTAGGATTTCTTCTACTTCGTATTCTTCTTCGCTGGCGTCTTCGATTTCTATATTGGTAGCGGTTTCTATATTGTCTAGCGCTTTCTCTAATAATGATATATGAAATACTGGGTGAATTCTGTCTATGCTTTGCGGTAGCTTTAGCTTGTAGTTTACTGGTCTAGTTTTCTCTTTAATCGTAAATGGTCCTAGTCGTTTGTGGTCTAGCTTATCGCTGGGTCGTTTTGTTTTTATGTTCTGA